AGAAATCTGAGACTCATTTATGTCAAGATAAATTACCAAAAACATTCTACAAGTAAAATAAAATCTTCAGGGTATATTAGCAATTGTGTATTGAAGTTATTCTCACCAAGGAAGACCATGTTTCTGTAGTTTTCTAACATCACGTTCCTATATAAATTCTGCTGTGTGGTATCCAGGCATTGCCACTCCTCTGGAGAGAATTCTATGGCCACATCCATAAATGTCAGTGGTCTCTGAAAAACACACATACATATATTTACCAACTGGCCATGGGCAAAATTTTGAATTTGACTCAAGTTGAAATGAAATTCTAAAGAGAACTGGTTCTGACTTATAAAGTAAAGGAAATCATCCAAATAAAATAATTTTAAACACATAAGTAGTCTCTGCTATATTCTCTAACTATGAGAAAAGAGTGGAATAAGATCCACAACATCAATTTATATATAATTTTCTGGATAGTAAACTATAAAATTAAGGGCAGGAACATAATATGTACATTTTTGAGTGCTATATTTACATTATACAGAATGAATGAGTTCTGTATATTTTTGAGATGAAAAAGACTTGTTGAGTTAGAAGGTACATCTCAATATTTTTGAGACGAAGTCTCGCTCTGTAACCCAGGCTAGAGTGCAGTGGCACCATCCCGGCTCACTGCAACCTCTGTCTCCCAGGTACAAGCGATTCTCCTGCCTCAGCCTCCTGAGTAGCTGGGACTACAGGTGTGTGCCACCACACCTGGCTAATTTTGTATTTTTAGTAGAGACAGGGTTTTACCATGTTTGCCAGGCTGGTCTCGAACTCCTGACCTCGTGATCTACCTGCCTCGACCTCCCAAAGCTGGGATTACAGGTATGAGCCACCACGTCCAACTTCTAATTTTAACATATAAAATAAACTGGACTGGAGATCTTGTTATGCCATTTTCTTTTTTTTTGGGAAGAAGATCTGGAATAAAGTCTGAGTTGCTAAATTTTCAACAAGCTCACAAGTAATACCAATAATTTTGCCCTAAAAAGAATATTTTATCAAACATCCACTAAGTGACAGAAGCTGGGGTTTTTCCCCCCATTTTTTATGGCCTATAAAAGAGGGATGAAAGCCTTCATTTTCCAAAGACAGACATATGCAAAGAAACCTTGAGAGAAGAGCAGCTGCCAGATTAAATTTGATGATTTATGCACATCAGCTTCATAAAGAAGAGAAAAACAATTCTAGAGTGAAAAATCTGTCAGAGAGCTCTTTAAACCAAGTGAATCATTAGCATCAACTGCAATAGGACAAATTTTTGTGATGTGCTAAAACACACAGAAGGACCACATTGATGCTGGAATATTGCTACCAATAAGTAATTTATAGTCCAAATTCAATCATACGGAAACATCAACTGTATGCAAAGTTCAAGATACAGGTATTTTCTATGTTCTGTAATTTTTTTTTTTTTTTTTTTTGAGACAGAGTCTCGCTCTGTCACCCAGGCTTGAGTGCAGTGGCGCGATCTCGGCTCACTGCAACCTCAGCCTCCCGAGTAGCTGGGGCCACAGGTGCGTGCCACCACACCCAGCTAACTTTTTGTATTTTTAGTAGAGACAGGAAAAAAGAAAAAAAAAAGTAGAGACAGGGTTTCACCGTGATAGCCAGGATGGTTTCAATCTGACTTGGGATTTGCCTGCCTCAGCCTCCCAAAGTGATGGGATTACAGGCCATGAGCCACTGCACCCAGCTATGTTCTGTAATTTTTAATAGTGATTTTAAATAGTCTTTCTTTAGCACCCTAGGGAACAGGTATGTCCTGCTAATTTTTTTCAAAACTTTCTGGGTAATAAATGCCATGTTCTTTAAATAAGCATTTTCTTTATTCTGTTCTGCACAGGACTAATAGCAAACATAAATGGAACTTCAACATTACATGTTCTCCATCTTTACTAAGGATCCTGGCTTTTCCAATGGTAATCTTGAGTATCCACACTTTTCCATGTTCAACAACCACAAAAAGAACATTTTTAATGCTGCAGATCATCAATTAATGGTGAGAATTTTACAAGGCATATACAAAGCAGTAAGGTAGCTGGGCACAGTGGCTCACACCTGTATGTAATCCCAGCACTTTGGGAGGCCGAGGCAGGCAGATCATCTGAGGTCGGGAGTTCAAGACCAGCCTGGCCAACATGGAGGGAAAAAAAAAAAAGCAAACTATAAGGCAGAAAATTTAGAGAAGGCTCTGATACGTAGGAAAGAAATGTTTTTCAGAGACCCTTCATTATCATAAGAATTTTAAAAAGTAGTTAAAACAAACTCATTAGGGAGAAAAAACACAAGTACAGAAGTCAAGGTTTGCAAGTACTAAATGTATAGCATACGAAGAAGCAGAGTGGACATAGCTCTTGATCTGAGACATGTTTAGCTGAAAACATGTCCCCTTTTCCTCTATCTCCTCCTTCTCAGATTTATTTTCAGATGAGATTTTTCTGGACAAATTATACCTGCATCTCAAGAATGTATCTTTAAAAGTCTCAGGACCACTTGTTTACATGCTACCACTACACCCACAGGCAGGACTAAGACTCTCAGAAAAAGTTCACCCATTTTTGTTCCTTATATGAGAAAAGATTCAGAAACAATGAAAATATAAATATAAGTTTCTCCTTTTCTGCCCTCAGGTACCTTCTCCTGCCACAGGCACCAGCAATTTCTGCTACAGTAATAGAAATACGGGTCACACTGCCTTGTCCCTACCAAGCCCAAACAGAACAGGCCCTGTGACCACCCTTCAATGGAAAAGTAAAACTTAACTCTCATGAATGTATCCTGAACCCCTCGTATTTGATTCTGGCCTTACCTTAAAGTCATATGAGACACTTAAAATTAAAACAGCATGAATGTGTCCATACAAAACAATAAACAGAACCTGTGAAGAAGGCACAAGAGATTTCTAGTAATTGGCCATATAATTTGAGTATTGAGTAAAATGGCTGATTGCTACTCTGTAAAGTTTGTGTAGGAATCCGAGGTAACTGGAAGCCTGAGAGGAAAAGGCCCCTCTTAGAGTAAAGCTTAACTGGAACCTTATGTGTTTATATCTGTCTAGTAGTTCTAGACAGTGTCTGGAAAATATAATTACAAGAAAAATTTTCTCCAGCTCTAGAGAAACTCCAAAATGACAGAACAGAAAGCAAACTGTTTGATTACACAATTAAACCAGAATGTGACATGCATCACAATCAATATTCTCAAGAGCTTGCGAAGACAAAAAGGTACTCCTGTCATCAGTCCACAAGTAAAATAATTTTCACCTGGTAATTGGGGAGGTGACCCATGTATGCTAATTGATTATATTCAGTGACAAAATTAACTTTCCACATCCTCATGACAGGAGGTAATTTTGCAACTTAGGGTGTTATCTTCTTAGCTATTTACATTTTAAAGCAATGGCTCTTTACCTCCTGGGCGCTAGACTAGAACATTCCGCTTGCCCTTTCCTGATAGTCAGTGTCCTCTCTTGACTCCTACCACAGGGCTCACAGCTGGAAGCTCTCATCTTATGTGAACCCCAATTGCCAGAGCAGCACTCCAGTCCCACATCAGAGAAAGAAGCCTGAGATGCAGGAGGAGAGCCTGCAGGCCTCTTGGGTAAAATTGCACCTTCACAATAATGGGAAGGGGAGCAGTGGTTCAGTCTCAGTTTCTACTTTATAAGATGACGTGAAAATAATACTGCTGGATTTTCAGCCTGAGTTTGGACAGAGATAGCGTTAACAGTTCTCCCTGTGACAAATCACCTCATTCATAGATACTATGGTATAGTAACAGGGCTTCTGAAACACCCAAAGCATTGGAGAGAAAAACAGCCCTTATCTTAGCAAAATTATATTAAGAGAAAAAATAAGAGCATCTTTAAAAAAATACTCAGATTAAATAAGATTAATTAAGTTAAGGCCTGGCTTGGTGGCTCACGCCTGTAATCCCAGCACTGGGACGCCAAGGTGGGCGGATCACAAGGTCAGGAAATCGAGATCATCCTGGCCAACAAGGTTAAACCCTGTTTCTACTAAAAATACAAAATATTAGCCAGGTGTGGTGGCGGGCACCTGTAGTCCTAGCCACTCGGGGGGCTGAAGCAGGAGAATTGCTTGAACCTGGGAGGCAGAGGTTGTGGTGAGCCAAGATTGTGCCACTGCACTCCTGCCTGGCCTGCAAGAGTGAAACTCTGTCTCAAAAATAAAAAAATAAGAATTAATCAAATTAGCCAGAAAATGTTCCCCTGAAATGTCTCTCTAAATACCCAAACTGCACACCTACTCTCAGCATGAGAAGCATGAACATTATGAAGAAAGGGAACACATTCTCAGCAAAATTTTAAAATGTTTCTCTTTTATCTCTGCTGCTCTCTCATCTCTTTGCCACTGAATAGGGGATTTATATTGGAATACATGTGACAATTTCCACCAGTACCTTTTATTTTTTTTGAGACAGAGTCTTGCTCTCTCACATACGCTGGGGTGCAGTGGCACAATCTTACCTCACTGCAACATCCGCCTTCCAGGTTTAAGCAATTCTCCTTCCTCAGCCTCCTGAGTAACTAGAATTACAGGTGCCCACCACCATCCCTGGCTAATTTTCGTATTTTTAGTAGAGACAGGATTTTACCATGTTAGCTATGCTGGTCTCAAACTCCTAACCTCAAGCGATCTGTTTGCCTTGGCCTCCCAAAGTGCTGAAATTACAGAGGTGAGCCACCACATCCAGCCTTCAACACTTTCTTTTTTTTTTTAATAGAGAGGGAGGGCCGGGCGCGGTGGCTCACGCCTGTAATCCCAGCACTTTGGGAGGCCGAGGCGGGTGGATCACGAGGTCAAGAGATCGAGACCATCCTGGTCAACATGGTGAAACCACATCTCTACTAAAAATACAAAACATTAGCAGGGCATGGTGGTGCGTGCCTGTAATCCCAGCTACTCAGGAGGCTGAGGCAGGAGAATTGCCTGAACCCAGGAGGCGGAGGTTGCGGTGAGCCGAGATCACACCATTGCACTCCAGCCTGGGTAACAAGAGTGAAACTCCATCTCAAAAAAAAAAAAAAAAAATAGAGAGGGAGTTTCACCATATTGGCCAGGATGGTCTTGATCTCCTGACTTTAGGTGATCCACTGGCCTCCAAAAGTCCTGAGATTACAGGCATGAGCCACGGCACCCAGCCCTACACTTTGTTTTTTTTGAGATGAGTCTTACTC